TAGCGCTACTTGGAAATAGCAGGAATATCACAGGTTGCAACTAGCTCTGTTTACCTTTGGCTACCATAAAGTTCACCTCAAAAGAATATACTAAAAAAAGCAACGCTACTTCTAAAATGTATTATCACGCTAGCGCCCTAGAAATATCCAGGTATCCTCGGCCTGTAATGAAATTTTTTCAGCCAGTCATGTTTAATGGGAATAAGCACAGCCCTGGAATGACTGCAACACTTTGACTTCAGCACTGCTGGGGCAGCACATCTGATTTTACAGTTGTTCGTCCTGGCTCTGCTAACACCATCACAGTTGCTACCAAAGAAACAGAAATGCTTGCTGGACTATGCACAAATGTGCACACAGGGAACATGAGATTGGCTTAATGGAAAAGGCAGAGACAGCAGGGAAAGCAATAGCAGTCTTCGGCATCTCCTGCAGGCAGAGGGGGCTGAAGCATAGGACAGCGAGGGCAGGACCAGCCCTCCCCTGGGACGCGCTACGGGACAGAGGGCTCTGAAGTGGGTCTTGCAAATGGCCACCCTGCCAACGGGAACCCCTGAGGCACGACCCGCAGCTTAACTGAGCTGTGCCAGAGCGACTGGGATGTGCAGGCTCCCAGCCACGGCCCGCCTCTGAGCAGGGAGGAAAAGTGAGGAAAAGCATGCCTGAGCTTGACCATCGCTGCTGCCGGGGACGAGGGGCTGCGAAAGCCCTGGGACGGAGCAAGTGGGGTGTGGAGGTGGCAGAAAGGGGCTCCAAGCATGGACGCGCTCTGCCCCAGCTCTGGGCGGGGGTGCCCAGCAAGCAGGAGAGGAGCAGAGGGCATGCACGCTACCCAAAGCGACTGAGGGGCCTGTGCCTCCGTAGCAGCTCCAGGACACCACACAGAGCTCTTTAGCTCACTGGCAGCGCTGGTCTTGCTTTTACTCCCACTGAAAAAAGGAGCACAGGAAGAGACAGGAGGCATTTCTGGAGCCATGGAGGCCACGGATGTTCTGTGGCCCTTTAGGAGATGGTTAGGCGCCCAACTACTACGCTGCTTTCTTCCCACTCTCGTTGAAGAGCTGAAATGCCACGGAGCCCCGGCAAGCACGCAGCCAAACTGGGTATTCCAGTTTGAGAGTTAATAAGGGAGGAAAAAGCCACTAGTAGGCTGAAAAAAAGAAATTAAAAAAAGAGAAAAGAAAAAAAAAGGCACAAAAACTCCCAAAAGCAAAGAACCCTCAACTCTCTCAAACACTAGGAAGATTAAATCTGAAAAACGTTGTGGTAGATACTCCACAGTGACAGCCTGTCAAACGTTTCCACATGTGTCAGCTGGCTGATCCCGATAAAGTAGCTCTGTGCAACGATGCGACCCCTGGGAACAGTATTTGTGCTAAACAGCACGTGGTCAGTCCTGACGGCGCAAGGGAGGTCTCCAGCTTGAAGCCTTACCTTTCATCAGGAACATTCTTCAGTCATAAACTGACAGTTAAAATGTATTTTTATGTCCAAATTGTCGGTTAACTCATTACAATGCTTGGCATCAAATCAGTAAGCACAAGAATGCTGCTAGACACATGTCATTAGTGCGGGGCTGGAATATCCTGTATGCTCCCTAGTCCCCACCCACCCCCAGCAGCGTGAAATTGCAGCAGTGTTAGAATTACTGGGTTGTTGGGTTTTTGGGCGGTTTTGTTTGGTTGGTGTGGGGCTTTTTTAGTGTTTTGGTTTTGGTGGGGGGTTTTGTTGGGGTTTTTTTTGGTTTGGTTTTTTGGGTTTGTTTGGTTGTTGTTGGTTGGTTGGTTTTGTGTGTGTGTGTTTGTTTAAGAAAAACTATAAAACACCCTACATTTAATAATTCAAGATTCCTTAATATTTCTGCAAGTTCTTTAGATCTGCCATGTTCCAATGCCTGTCTGCTTTTCCCAATTTTGTAAAACGCATTATGCCTGTCCACAAAAGCAGTCTCATTTAATACTAATTTTAGAATCCATAAAAAGAGATTTTTGGCATACAAGGCTACCCGCTCTCTTTCTGGATTCCATTTTCCCATCTTTTTTGAGGATCATCTAAATGCAAACTAATGCTATGTGAACCTAAAAGATGTTCTAACATAGTCCACTATAATAAAGAGATAATTACCTCTGAGTACACATTTGGTCGCACAACACTAGAAGGCACAGAAGAAAAAAGCCTACCTCTTTTTTGGGAAACCTTGTTGGGAAACGAAGCCATTCATAAGCTGTTTTTCTGGTGATGCTGGGATCAAGAATCCTGATTTGACTAGATTTGTATATCATGTTCAGAGCTGGTTTCTTCCAAAAGCCTTTAGCACTCTGTAACAGGCAAGCAAATACACATTTTTAATGACTATTAACAGTTGATTTTGGTTTTGTAGCAACTCTAACGAGAATAAAATCCAAGGGCAGGAGGTTGACGAAGAAGAAGAGGAGCGTTGAATCTCCCAAAGTTCAACAAAAACATGTGCCACATCGTGCTCCTGCACCAGGATAACCCACTGCAGCAGCAGAGGCTGGGGCCGGCTGGCTGGAAAACAGCTCCTGACAGACAACACACACCACCAGTGTGCCCTGGAGGCAGTAAATGCTCATTGCCTGCTTCGCCACATTAATAAGAGCATAGAGAACAGGCAGACAGAAGTTATCACTCTCAAGTACTTCGTACTGTGCCCTTCTGCTGTTTTGGGCTCCCCCCTGTGCAAGAGAGTGTCAAACTGGGGCAAGCTCAGCAGAAGGCCACTAAAACGGCCAAGGGGCCAGAGCGCACAGCAAACAAGAAGGGTCTGAGGAGGCTGGGTTTTGTTCAGCCCATCTTCAACTATCTGGTAGGGGTTTACAAAAAGACACAGGATCAGACTTTTCTTGGAGGCGCACAGTGAAAGGATGAGGATAAATTCTTTCCTGGGAGGGTGGTGCAGTACTGAAACAGAGATTGTAGAAATATCCCTGGCAATACTCAAAACTTACCTGGATGATGCCCTGAGAACCTGTATGGCTTTGAACTTGGCCCTGCTCTCTTTCAACAGGGTTTTGAACTAAAGACCACCAGAGAGAGGTCCCTTCCAACATTATTCTGCAATTCCACCAAGCACGCAGGACAAAGTAATCTGGGAAATGGCTGAAGCATGCATGTCAGAATACGAAACAGTGCTAAGAGGATAAAAAGGTATTTCCAAGAGAAAAACTGCTTTGGGGTGAGGAACTGATCAAATATGTGGGTGAGAAAGAGGACAGAAGCATTTATGGGAAAGGGATATTGAGCAGACTGACTGGGAGATCTAGTGCTCCCCCCAGCTAGGAGGACCAAGGTTAAAGGCAAAACAGATGTTTCACACCAGAGGCGTGCCGCAAGCTGAGCCAAGGTGCATGAACAGTTACACTTACTATTTTCTGACCACCTAGTATCTCCCACAGCCACTTCAAGTCACGTGGTTTGAAGACGATGAGAACAACAGTCGTATTAGGGTCGTAGTGGATCGGATCTGAGAAGATGGATTCCGGGTAAGAAAGGCGGAAAGTCGTCCTCCTCCCAACATCTTCTTCGTACCCTATAACAGGGCCATTATTCATTCTGCAGGACAGAGACACAGAGATGGCAATTACTACCCCACCCATGCCCTTACTGTGCGGTGGCTGGCACACGCATTGGTCTGCGGGACAGAGAGCGTGTCCAGGTACAGCAGGGTTTAATGGCCCAGCATTTACTTATCACATTACATGGTAGGTGAGCAATTATCAGGTGCGCTCACCCTCTAACTCAGAGGGATCAAGCACATGTGGGAACTTGGCCAAGGTAGTTTAGAATAGAATCACACGATTGCTTACTGTGTGTCACTCGAGCAGAAGGCTTTCTGACTTGGCTCAAACACAGAAACTGGAGAAGACCAAAGAGAGTATCTAGCTTGGAGAATTACCCGTTGCTCCATTCATGCTACTATATGATTCGAGTCATACAGGAGGCAATTCAAGAATGTTTTAATACGCTTCACTGTATACAGGAACAGGGATTGTGACTGTGTACCTGATGCTGATACATCTTTGTGTTTGCCTTTTTTGTTTGTTTGGGGTTTTTTGGGTGTTGGGGTTTTTATTCCTTTTTTTTTAAATATTACTTGCACAGCTGCCACTGTTTTGGATATAACAGATTAATAAGCAGTGAGGTGGGTCAGGTCTCTCTGCTCTGAGGTGTTAGAGGGGCTGTGTTTAAGTCTCCATCTTGCAATTTTTGCTTGGCGGGTGTGTTGCATATTCTTTGGAGAATTTCAGGCAGTCTCTGTATGCTCCATTCCTGCCCATGTGACTGACTGCTCAGAATAGGAGGAACACTGCTTAGGAGCAAGTGTTTGCAAAACAAGGTATGCAGAAAAGGGAATATTCCAAAGTCTTATCAGAAGCCATCATTAAATACAGAATGCAAACACCACCTCTTTGTTCATTCACAGTAAACAAGCGTGTACTGTATTTCTGAAACAGTTTTGAATTTATAGCTGGTTTTAAAAGTGTGACCAGTCTACACAAAGATTTCTATTTTAAGAAGAATAGATAGATCTACAAGGAGCCCAAATACTTGAAATAGCTTAAAAATAAACCATGGAGCTTCCTTGCGTCATTATACTACACTGAAAATAAGTGCAAGGTGGGTTTTTTTATAAAGCACAAAGTTGTCAGGCAAGTAAAGTTTCCCAAGAACAGGGATATTATCTGGATCACTTTCTATAGTTTTAAGTTTATAAGAGGAGCTACAACTGAAGAATTGCATGTATTCATTTCCACCTGTCAGTACGTTTTCAAATGCATGTCAAACTCCAGGCTTTGTATATATACAACTTTTTATGGTAATGCTTGAAGACTGAAACACTATTACTAAAACGAGCATTAGGATTGATGGCAAAAATAACAAAAATGAGATTTTGTTCAATGTTCAACACAATGTTGAAGCAGACAAACTGAAATGGCAGCTCAGAGGTTTTAGTGAAAGAGGGTTCAGGCACTCTATCCAACAGGGTACCTACAGGCAGAAGGGCTGTTTAATCAGTTACCACCTCAGTTCCTGCAAAGGAGAAACTGATTTATCTTTTTCTTTATGTGCAGAAAATTCTGTTATAATCTGCCAAACAGTCCATTTTCGGTTTCCTTGGCATTTGAGCTTTTTTTGTTTAACCCCTCCTTGCCTGTTCCTCTCTGAGCACTTCCCCAGTTTCCCTAGTCCAGATGCCTCGTCTTCAGAACCCAGCATCCTCCGGTAGGTCGAGACATCTCATGAACTTCCAATATGAACTAACATGCTTGAGGAAAAGGGGCAGACATCAACATCATCCTCCAGTTGGCACGTGCCAGCATAAACGTTACAGTTAATCCACTCCAAGCAATGCACATGCCAGCACAGGGGTAAGAGAGGCGTGGTGTGGAAGGTGAGAGGCAGGGCTGCCCGGGACGTGCAGGACTCCGGGCTCTCACATGCTTGGACCCATCCCTGATGGCAAGCAGCTTGCACGCGTGTACATGAGGCAGACTGACCACCCAGTCATTCTTCCTCCCCCGTATCAATCAGTCTGTGTAATAAAACACTGATCCATCTTTTCCCAAAATTTTTTTTCAATGAAGGCTGTGACAGAATAAGTAAAACAGGAAGTTTTATACATTTTCATTTATACAGTAAGTGAACTCCAAAGCTGACAGCAAAAGTTTGTTAATTCTTTGCATGTACACAAAATTAAAAGGAGATACCATTTACCTTATTATCACATCATATGAGTCAATTTTCTCCCCTAATGTCTTATTTCGAAGTACTCCTCCATTACCGACCACAACACATCGTCGACAGGCAATGCTGTGGAACAAACAGAACTTTTCATATGCGTGACTTCTCTTGCTTCATATTGTTATTAATGATATATTTGCATTTAGCTGGCTTATTTACTAACTGAGGTCCTGTATCTTCTACACTTCTTGGCCCCTACAGAGCAGCGTCAATCCTGTATCACACGCTAACGCTGCTTTCAAAAAAATGCAGCTGCGTTACTTCAGGGACTGCCAAAGTCAGGAAATGGCTTCTCTCATGTAAAACTGTTTTTATACATGTCCTTTTTCTAGTGGTTTGCTGTTTAAGATCATCTAACCAGTTGGTGATACGGGTGCCATTAGACAAATTATCTTCCACGATGCTTCAAACTTCTCCCAGGCTGGGGGTATACCAACCAGGATAGAGTATGTCTGGGAAAACGAACGCAAAATTAAGGTGCTTCTGCAATATTGTACAACTCCACAACTCTAGATATCTCCCAACACAAGCTAAAGCAGCAAGATTTATGTTCACAATTTACCTTACAGGCCTCTGAATTGTACATGTGAAAAACCTTAGCCCAATGACACACATGATGGCTCTTCAAATGAATATAATCATGTTGATTTATCTCCCTCTACTTAGAAAGTGCTGTCTAAACGTGTTTAAACATGTGCTGAAGTGCATGCTGTCGTGCATGCTGTCATGACATAACAAGAGGGATACACTTGACTAAAAGTTGCATTCTCATATGACTAGATTCAAATCAGACTACATTACTACATATATAAAACACTGAGCTACAAATTAGATCTTATACTACATCCAATCAAAATAGTAATTCCTTTCAGATTTAGAATATATTCAGGGTTAAAAAGCACCCAAAAAAGGTATTACGCAAATGCTAAACTTATGAAGGTAAATTCTAATGGTAAGATTTTCTAAGTTACACCAGGTTTTCTAAGTGTATCTTTTGCTCTCTACTGTCTTATTTCAATGCTAGTAAAATGTGTACTTTGCTAAAAAAAAAAAAAAACAAAAACAAAAAACAAAACACACAACAAAAAATTAGAATAAAAAAAAGCACACAATCTTGCTGTTTTTTCACTCAAGAAATTTTGCCTCTTTAGGGAGGGTTTACATCCAATGTATAAGATTACAAACTCCTCCTTAGAGAACAAGCACATAGTTTTTTCTGGTAAAAATGCTTTTTTATTTAGAGCAAAAGCTGTTGAACTTGGTTGCAGCAAGAACAGCGGCAAAATCAAAACATTGGTATTTTCTTCAGACACAAACAGGCTCACAGCTTACTGAGGATGAGCCACCTCCCAACATCCCACTCCCACAGTTCGTCATATAAGAAGAAGGCTCTACGCCATTTCTTACTGTAGGGGACCCCAGGACTGTGTCCCAAAGAATACTATAATCTGTATTAAATGCCTAGTGTGGCACTTCATGCAACTAATTAACATCTTTCTCCTCAGATAGTCCAACCTGTTTTTTCAGCTGAGGAGAGTATTATTCAACATCAATCAAAACAGCCTGTTCTTATAAAACAAAAACAAAACCAGCCTGTTCCAGCCGAGACTGACCGACATCTCAACGCACAAAGCAGCGCCCTATATTTCCTACAGAATTGTTAACGCAGTTATGCTGTACTGCATGTGGGCTAGGGAAAAGAAAATGGGCCTCAAAGCAATGCTGACAACGTGAAGCTTACAGAAAAGGTGAAATGAGAATAAATGCCAACTGTAAAAAGCACTGTATTTCAAAAGAAATGCTGGGATGGCATCTTCTCACCTGCTGCTCTAGGGACACATCTGTAGAGGGAGTTGCCTTTAAAAACTTTTTTATATATATATAAATATATATAGTCATGGTTTAATCCCAGCCAGCAAACAAACCCCACACAGCTGCTCACTCACC